TTCAGATGCGTTATGCTCCTCTTCTTTTTATGCTCAGCTACTAAAATTTCCCTTTAGTGGTAAAATCCATATAAATATTCAAAACTAAGCGGATTAAAATGTTCACAGTAAAGACATTAAATGATTAAATCTTTGCACTACCAACCAATGCACCACGAGTGCCCCTGTCGGTCATTTTGGCCAGCCAATCACTTGCCTTGCGGTGCCCTCCGGTGCCCCGCTGTGGCTTGTGGGTAGGTTACTGTACCGCGGGTTTTTACCGCGCATTTTGAATGGGTGCATCTGTAAAGGGTGTTTCTGATGACACAAGAGACTATTACCTTTATAAACCACCCTATTATTTCTTACAAACAAAATTAGAGACATTGTGTTAAAATAATTAAAATATTACATATTATTTTACAGGGGTTTGCTGAAGCATTTAATGTGAAAATGCACTGCATAAGAGAAAATATTTAAATAGATTCTGTGATGGAAAACTTCTCTAGAAAAGTTTTGATAGCTGTACCTAAGGACTGTCTTCAGTTAATACATGTATTTACTGATCACTCAGTAAACCAGATGAGGAAAAAGTTTTAAAAAATCCATTATAACATCTTCAGTGTTATGCATATTGATTTGAAGAAGTCTGTCTCAAGCAGAAAATCAGTAACAACTCATTAAATATGCTCATCCTCCATAACATGCCATTTGCCAATCTGTCTCAAAGATCTATATTTTTTTCCCCAATTTGTTATGCCAAGCAAAAAACTGCAATAACTAGCCCTTAAGAGACTCAATTCTAAAACAAATACATTAATTGTAATACCCACAGAAAACCTCTGCTCACACAGTACAGATTTGCATGCAAAAATGTTTTTGATCATTGCCTCAGGGTCTGCAGGGTCGGAAAGTCTGCAGAAAGCCACTTGGGAATCCAGACACGACTTCATGGCATTCTTTTAACTAAAAAGTTGTGTGTGACCTCTCTCACCTTGGATTATAAACCCTCCAGTGCTTCTTCCCTTCTAGCTGAACCACAAAGGCCTCAATGTCATCATAGTGAGGGGCAAATCCCTGGGTGCCCGCAGGAGTCAAGTATCTACACATATAAATACAAGCACGGATGGGAAAATACGCATTACCAAAGCAAAACAATAATGATCACATTGGTCATTTCCAATTAGACTCATACCATGCATAAAAAGGAATTTGTATATGCAGTTGTTTAAATAAATTTACAAGCATGTAATAATCTTTACAAATCTATAAAGATGTACAAGTGCACTGCAGTCCTGCAACCCACTGACAAATCACATTTGTCCCAGCTGCCATAGATACTGCTGTGCAGAAGACCCTCTCATAATATTATAATTGAGTTGGTATAAGTTGTTTCAGTAAGCTAGCATTACAAAACAGGCATCAACTTCTTTCACTAGCTGTTATAGTACTGCATACATTAACAGATCATTGCTTTTTTCCCTGTATTGCATGTTTTTCAGGACACTTTGGAACTCTTTTGAACCTCCAATGAACGCCTGTAGATATGGACATTTTTAAAATCAAAGTATTCTTACTGTACTTAAGCAAGTTTCACACATACACATTGGCTCCAGCCATGCTCCCAAACTGTTCCTGGAGAATGGACAGCACATTCCACAAGGTGGCAGAAAAGGCCTGTGGGTTCAACATGCGCAGAGAGCAGCCATTCTGTAACAAGAGAAGAACAGAACTGCAGCAATCCTGTTAAATCCTAGATTAACTGGACTCTTTTTATTTATTGACACATGCCTAATACCGTAAGTGCACAAAAATATTGCAATTTAATTACTTTGTATAATATTTTAAAATAGAAGCCATTATCTTCAGGTTTCATCTTTATTAATTAATGCACTTGTCAAGCACATCTTCAAAAAAATGTCTTAGTCTCAAGAGGCCCATGTAATTTAAGTATAAATACATTAAAAAAATGTCAATCACCTTTGATTAAAGAATGCTTAATAGTAAAACACTTGATCTTGTCCTGCCATTACATTATGTGTGCCTTGGGTTTGAAATAAAGCTGATTCAAATAGCTTAAAAAACAAGTGGCCACGTTAGACATCAACACCAAATATGTACGACAACTATTATGGTTCTGATATCAGAGGGTGTGCTTTTAAGAAACGTGATAGGCAAATATAATACTAGCACAAGAGGCCAAAGGCACTACAGGCATGATTTCACAGACATTACAGAACTGTAGGCATTTTTTTCCATGATAAGTATGGGGCAGCTACCAAGACCAATTTATTTTGCAACAAGGAACCTTCTCCATTCATTATCCAGAAAGCTCTATTAAAAGCTTTGTGAATATAAAGAACTTCTTCAGTAAGATTGCAAGAGTGTTCTGCCAAAACACAAACCTTGAAAAACAGACTTGTACTCCAGACTGCATTTTGTGCTCTATTACCACTGCAATAGTTTAATTTGATCTTAATATCTATGTAGGCATCTGGGCATAAACAGACCAGACAGTGCGGGCTGATATTGACTTTTCAGTCATGGATGAGAATATGTGAATTAAAGAAACTAAATTGGACCCTATGCAGTAGTTTCACAGACCCTGATTAGCACTAATCTTGGCCTACCTAATGTTAATTCAGGTAAGCTAGGCAGCTTGCATGTAATCAGCCTGTATATATTGTTACAGTTTTATGTGACTAGGAAGTGTCTCTTACAGTTTAAAGTTTGTGATACCTGGCAGAGTGAAGAGAGGAGTCTGGAGGAGTTGGAACTTGAAGCTTGCACCAGGCGAGAGCCCCTACTTCATGATTATTCAAACAAACCTGACTAGCTAAGTAATTAACCTTGCTAGAGAGAGTTTGTTATACTGTGTTTTTAGGGACCTGGATAAAAGAAACTTCAGTGATGTCTTTCCTGCTTAGGATAGGATAGGGGGACAGGCTCCCATTTATTTTGTGGCATCTAGGGTGCAGAAAGAGAGATTTAACTGAAGGTTGTATTGCATTTATATAGAATGCAGCTTATCTTTTACTTGCATTATTTTAAAGTTTAATCTTAGTAGAAGTCTGTTTTTTTTTGGAGTGATTAGAATGTTAGGCCTATGAAATGCCTTGTCTGTAAATACATTGAATAACTTGTGTGTGGAATGTTTTGTTGTGTGTATTGTAGTGTTTGTATTGCCATCATCAACAATTAAACAAATAATAATAATAATAATAATAATAATAATAATAATAATAATATTTGTTTAACCTAGTGTGCCCGGATTATTACTTTTTTCACCAACGTTGTGCCACAGAATAAAGAATTCATGTGCCTCTAATTATAACAGCCTCTCGGTATATTCTAGAGCAGTGGTTCACAAACTATGATTCGCGTACCACTGCCAGCTGGTACGCCATATGATCCTGGAACTTTGTTGTGTGCACTGAAAAATTGGGATGGGTTTTAATCTCCAGCAAATAGGGAGGTAGGAGATTGTGCGTGATTTTCGAACAATGCCAATGTTGTAAACACAGGAATGCATAGAAATGTGTACTACAAACGCTGGCAATCTTGTGAGCACAGGAAAGCGTGATATGTGACAGAAAAATATTTAAGAACTGTTCTAGGTTAATTTGAGAAACATACAAGGAGTGTCTCTGTGTTTCGCTCCCATGTGCATGAAATAAAAACGTCTTTTAACTTCTGAAACGGACTCCTGAAACGGAAACGGGGGAAAATGCAAGCTTTCTGTTCTATAAGCCACTACCAACAGGAACTACAGGAGAGCACATATTTCAGCTTCTGAATGAATTTATCGAAGAGAATGGCATCGACTGAATAAAATGCGTCTGAGTTTGTACAGACAGTGCTAGAGCATTATCAAGCCGACACAGCAGTGTAGTTCCACGAATATGAATGAAATGAATGGACGCATTGCAACATCCACCGCAAGACCTTTGCCGTCAAGAAAATGCCTGACGATTTAAAATCTGTTAAGACTCTGTTGTGAATTGTATCAAGGCTCAAAAATGAATTCACATCTGCTTTGCTCAACTAAACAGACTCACCCTTCTCACTGAAATTGTGCTTTTTTATTGTTTATTTTTTATTGTTGTTGTTCCTGTTTCTTTCTGTAAAGCGCTTTGAGAAGCCACCTTTAAAGGTGCTATATCAAATAAAGTTTATTATAATATTTATTATTAGTGTATGTGAGTGTGTGCGCTCACGCCCGCTCATGTTCGTCAACGAGAATTTCTGGGGTTCCTATGAGAAGATGACTTGTAGGTGGTACTTGGATGCTTTGGTTTGATTAGGGGTGGTACTTGGTCCACAAAGTTTGAGAACCACTGTTCTAGAGAAATCACTTACAAGTTGGGAGTGATTAATAATTATTTTACTTATTGACTAAACTGCTTGGTCAATTTCTGATTTTCACCACTTTCTTAACCCCTCATTTTTAACATTATAGTAAAGAAAAACAAAATAAGTGTTAAAAATGGAATTTACATTTTCAATGTTTTCCAAAAATAGCTAGCAAATCACACTGGACAATATCTGTGGTAGCTCATTTATACAGTACAGTAGTTACGTTGGTAACATACTGTAACATATTGTGAAGCAGATCAGCTATATGAAGCTAAGAAAAAAGTAGTGCTACCTCATGTCAGAGCCTCAGAGGTGGCACTTACCTGATTTTCAGTAATTGTAAGGTAACAGAACTAAATTTTCACATGGAAGTTTTAATTTAGCAATGAATAATTTATTGCAGCTGTAAAACAGGACAACATATTCATTATAAAGAGCAGATCTGCTACATCAAGGCAGCTTGTGAGAATCTCAACACCAATGAGCTAGTATATGTGGTGAAGAACAGAAAAAAATAAAGAAAGAACCTGGGGAACAAGTTTATAGAAGTAATCAGTTTAGTTGTCAGAGTAGTGGAGCAGTGATAGAAGCCATATGCTTTGAAGCTTTATTGTTTTTATTATTTAAAGAAAATGTAATTATTAAGATTTGTTTTGATTTATTGTTTTGTGTTAAAAAATGAAAATAAAGCCAGAAAACATGATGACATTAGTTTCAAACAGAGTTTGGAGTTATTTGTCCAGCAGCCATATCACCCTGCAACTCACAACTAATAAGCCACTGAAGCTAAGCAGGTGTGTGCCTGGTCAGTACCTCGATGGGAGACCTCTGGAAAAACTAAGGTTGCTGGTGTTAGTGGGGCCAGAATGGGGCGCTCAGCCTACAATTTTTTTGGATCCTAATGCCCCAGTATAGTGATGGGGACACTATACTGTAAAAAGGCACCGTCATTTGGATGAGACTTAAAACCGAGGTCCTGACTCTCTGTGGTCATTAAAAATCCCAGGGCATTTCTGAAAAAGGGTAGGGGATTACCCAAGCACTGGCTTTTACCAATCATGGCTTCCTAATAATCCCCATCTATGAATTGGCTTCATCACTCTGTTCTCCTCCTCACTGATAGCTGATTTATGGTGAGGGTACTGTGTGCACTACGGCTGCTGTCACATTATCCAGGTGGATGCTGCACATTGGTGGTGGTGGAGTCCCCATTACCTGTAAAGTGCTTTGAGTGGAGTGTTCAGAAAAGAGCTACATAAGTGTAAGGAATTATTATCTTCATTGTCACAGTCATGACATTTTTGAAATTCAGATAAATCACTACGTCTTCATCCCAGATCTGTATGAAGGCATAGTGTTAGTTCCTATCCACCATTCTATTATTTATTATTATTATTATTATTATTATTATTAATATGTGAAGTTATGTATGTGAGCTTTGCTGCAACAAGCAAGGATCTCCCACACTGGTTCATAATGTTAGATGACTAGCACTTAGAATGGTTCATAGAGAGGCACTTTAATAGGCCTATATTAAAGTAAATAAAAATATTTTTCTAGTTTCAAAAGCATGACATTTCAGATTTGGGAAGAGGGTTACAGGCATCAAGAAAACAACTGCAGGGCTGCAAACCTCAACTGTTAGCTTCTCTGTTAAAATTCCTTATGTGTGAGAAGTCTTTATAGTCTTCAAACAGTTAAAACAGCATTTTCAGTAAATCAAATACATAACAACAATAATCTGTGTTTAAGATTATTTAAATCAATGAAGTGCATTCTTGGTCCTGGACGGCCACCATATATTCTGTTTTTTTATTCCACTTTGGACTCCTAATGATTTTATTTGAATCAACTGTTCACTTAATTTGTCTATAATGTCAGTTTGGATTATGGTACTGCAGCCATCCAGAACCAGAAGTAAATATTGCTGATTTACAGAACTGAAAGACAGAATACAAAGCTCTCTGTGACCAGCTCAAGATTTTCTTACACAATGGGCATTAAAATGCAAACAGAATGCTGTCACAGCCAAAACTACAACCCCAAATGGCAGAATTACCTTATGCAAATGCAGCCTGAAGATGAGTGTGATAATAATGTGAGTACATTTTGCTGATAAGGTTTTATTTCCCAGTTATGAAATTATGCATATATAAAAGTCTATACCTTGTAGAAGTCCCAAACAGCGAAAGGCAGTGCCCTCCCTTGTGGATTGTGGGTCTCTCTTTTTCCATTTCTGTAGCTTGTGACATCTAGGTTCTCACCAAACTGGACATTATCCTGCTCAACCACAAATAATGAAAAAATGTTCACTCACATTAATATGATACATAGCCAACACTTCTAAATTAACTCACTGCAGATCCCGAAACATCCAACATTTTAAATCTTTAAAAACATCTGAAGTATTATAAATGATATCTAAAGTCATGCCATGAATATCATGCCATAGCCCTCAGACATAAAGGTCAGTAAACAATACTTCTGATACCACACCCCCTTACTTTTAATGATCATTTCATCATTCAAGCAAGTGGTAGGATTTAAAATAAATTTAAAATAAACGAATCAAAGAGTATGAATGCGTATTTATAGTACGAATATATGGAATAGATTATTTAAACAACTTCAAATTTTACAGAATTACTGAGTTTGCCAGAAACTCGGTACAGACTTCATTGTTAAATAAATACTATAATGTCTACTACACAAGAACAACAGTGATTGTGATAGGTAGTGCTAACACAAAAAATAACCATCTAATACTGCTTTGAACATATTCATTTGGCCAACCAGTAAATCAAAGTTTTTTTGCTTGGTCCTATTTAATAAGATTCAAAAAGACTCATCATTCAGTAGTAAATATTTATAGTTAACTTACATCTCTCAAAATCCTGTCAAACTCTAGTGTAGAAAACAATCCCTTATAATAGTCTGGGTTGTGTCTCCTGATTACTGCTGGCTTCTTTTCCCAGATTTCGCTAAGGCAAAGAAAAATAAATCATGTCATAAGTAATGGGACACAGTGGGATTTACAGATGCTCAATATGATGTACTAATGGATGCCTGACAAAAAACATGTATAGCCAGATATTTAAGGGCTTATCTAAAGCATTATGCCCACATACACATTATTATTCTTATACTTCTTCTTATTATTATTATTACTGCACCTGTTTCATGGAAAATACTGTAATGATTTTAGTGTGAACTAAAACAACAGAAGTCACTGTTCAAACGACTGTGTACCTGAAGAATTTTTTAGGTGAAATGGGATGCACAAGCCACTCAAAGAGTTTGCCAGCTCTCTCCCTGCTGTTACGAATCTTTCCCAGTTCTGCCAATAAAGTCTCAAGCAAAGGGCCCACCAAAGTCCTCTGGTTTGTACATTCCATCTAAAAACACCAAAAAAGATATTCGCATAGCAGTTCATGGTTCATTAAAGCTTTCCACTGGGATGGGGTGAAATCCACAGCAGAGGCAAGACAGATGTCAGTAAAGTCTTGGAACATATACCCAAGATTCAAGGCTACAAACGTACTGTATACCAAGTTTGTGTTCCAAATCTTTGGCATAGGTAGGAGAAAGTGGATACAAAGATTATGCTCTCCATGCAAGAATGTGAAAGGAATAATCCATGCTTCAGGGATAGGAGGAAATGGGAAAAGGGTTGGGCGCAATATTTTTGCAGCCCCACTTTCCACTATAACAAACAATTATTCAATCTAACATGGATTTTTGCAGTACGTGGCCAACAACTTAGTACTCACTTGTTCAGACACTACAGCCTGCTTATCCTTAGCTATCTTCAAACTCTCCCCTTCCATGCAGCCTTCTGACCTCTGCTGAATGCCACTGGTACACTCTTGCTTGGCTTCTCCATGATTTCTAAACTTTGCTTTGTACTGTACAAGCCCTGGTCTGATCAGACATTCCTTCAAAAGCCTTCCATTTAAGTTCAAGCTGCTCTGCTTCCCCTTTGATTGCTTGCTCTTTTTAAAACGATGGATTCCATTTTCTTTCTTCTTTTCTTTGACCTGAAAACACAGACCATTAAAGGAAAGTGAGCTCTAGAGCAGCTAAACTTTTCAAACTATGGAATAATCCACAGCCTGACTATCCTGTTTTATAATGCCCATTGGTTACCTACTATTTTATAACATTGTCATAAAAGCCAAAACACATGAGCACATGTATGGTGCACCACCCATAAGAAAAAGCTTGATAATAAGATCGTATGAAAGGCAAGAATGAGAGGAGACCTTAAGATGCCTAAAAAAATTTCACAAGGTGTGCCTATTACACTGGGAAGTGGCAGAAGTGATGAAGATGGCCGTCAACCCAGACTCCCTACTTAAACAGCTATCAATCAGAAAATGCCACCTTTGTAAACAGAAAAGGAAGAGATGGTGATAAATTCTGACTCAAATTCTAAATCAAAGTTATATTTTGATGTCTGAAAATACCACCCATAAATTGAACGTTCTATAGAAGAAAGAAAGTCTGACGGTCACTAAAGCCCTCTTATACCTACTAAATTTGGAACAGCTTTGAGTGTTTTTCACATCTTAGTTTGCAGTTATTATATACCCCAGGACTGTTCACAGGGGAGAAATGTGCAAATGTAAGCAGCTTCCTCTGACCCACACAACATTAAGCCATACACAGCCCCGTAACAGATTTTCAGCACCCAATGAAAGAGAAGCAAATTCCTTGCTTCCATGCCTGCAAGTGCCATGGAGGCCACAGAGGTCACTAAAAGAGCTCTGGTTGTCGAACTCCACTTTTTTGGTACTTTGGTAGTGACATGACCCAGGTTCAAACCCATGATCACAGAGCTCAATATGTGCTTGGGCAAATGTTGCAGTATTTGCATTCCCCCAGTATGTTGCATTCACATGTCACAAAGAGCAAAATCTGTATATAAATAGTATTAGAAAACAGGTGAAGATTTATTTTTTGGTGTGAGAATTTGCCATTAATCTATAAACAAAGTCTCATATCTAGGTACAAACCTGTCACTGTATGAAACTGTATAAATTCAGAAGATTAACTGTATCTTTTTCCAAAACTCTTCCATGGCCAGCAATATGCTTTCTGCAAAAAGGCAACCTCAACATTTTTTTCCTACACAAGTGCCTATGTAAAAGTAAATGTGTGACTTTTCAGTGTCCTATATAACTTTGTCAGGTTGTAATGCAGTTTTGAATAATTTATTGTTTTCTTTTATCTCCTTTATTGCTTATACAGTGTTTGTGACACCCTTTGTAAACAAGGGTAAACGTATTACTTTAAGGTAGCAAAAATGCACACAATTTCAAGACGGAAGATACGGATCTTGAAGCAGCAGTTTATGAAAGGGATTTAGGAGACGCATCAATGTCCTCATTTTGATAAGATGGGGAATATAAAGGCAACAAAAATATAGTAACAGAGCAAACAGTGCAATCATTTCTCCAAAGGCATTTAAACACATTCATTTGTACTGTAAATTTTAACTGCTGGACATCACGTGTTGTGGCAATAGTGAATGGTTGCATTATGATCACTATATTGTTAGGAAGACGTGCCCGAGTTTTAGATGTTTTCCATTATAGACTCCTACCTCTTTTTCACATGTCTGACTTAGACTGCTCTGAATCGAGCATCGAAGAAAAAATAAATTCACTTTTCATAAATATTATATTTAATGCATATAATTTATAATGTATAAATACAGCAGTTCGTAGCGTATATGCGGAAGCTCTGTTTATATTTCTTTCTTTGCACTTTCAGTCGGCAAATGCAGAACAATATTAATAGCGGACAAAGAGCTTTTGAAGTCACGTATTTCTTTTTTGGGGGGGGGGGGGAACAACTGCATTACTGCAAACCAAATATGTTCTGAAAGAATCTGGTAGAAGTTACTCTTTTTGCAAAGGCAAAATTGACATTCTTAAATTTAACAACACTGTTTAAAAAATATTCTAAAAACACCCACTGAAAATAACGAAGTTCGATTGAAGTTCAGAAAGCATGCTTCCGGAAATCACTACTTTGTTGCAGCAACAACCTAGAAAAACTTATACTTAAAAATATTTTTATCTTTTAGGCCGTGGAATAAAATATATCACATACCCGTTTCTTCGACGCAGTCTCTGTACTTACAGTACGATAAACTGCAAAGGCTGACACACGTGGTTTCTCCATAACTAAAAATATCAAAAAGCCTGCTGGCGAAATCTTCTTCCTGTAACACTACGTCACTGTCAGTGGAGGACGAACTGGTGTTACATTAAATGGTGTCTGGTGTGAAATGTTATCTGGTGCGTTTGTGTTCTGTACACAATATTACAATATTCTGAAAGGAATACAATATTAGTTTCAGAGATCTGCTTACAAAGCGCTGAACCGTATAGTTGTTACTACTATTATATATTCCAGTGGATACATCAATGTTTAATCAAGTGGGACTTAGCAAGGCTCGTGGTCAGTACTGGGTTGCAAAACCTACTGTACTGTATAACCAAAACTCCTCACGCATTAGGGGCTAATCCTAAACTCAAAATCACAAATATTGAAATCTCATACATATACGTCAAATATATATGTACTTGACATACAATATATACTGTACTGTGTATGTAACTATGTTCGGTACATTGAACATAGTGCAAAGTGACGTCACCTCTTATAATGTACAAATAATGTACAATTGTGCCGCGGCAGCCTACTTTGTGGGAGCGAGGGCCTTTGTAGATGGGAAGGTGATTCGCTCCCAGTGACTGCTCAGTTAATGATTATGTTTGATTATATTTATTATAGCAGGAAATGCAAGTGTTTCGTTTTGGTTTGGAATGCTGTAGTACAGGTTCTTGAAAAGCTCATCAAGTTAGATAATCTTAGAGTTATTTGCTTTTGTGTATGTCTTTTTTTATTTTTTTTTTCTATTAATACCAGAGGTATTTGAAGTGTTGTAAAAAGAAAAGTAATTTTTTGGCTTTGTGAAAAATGAGTGCTGATGTTTATTTTATACAGGAGGACTGATTTCCTTTATGATTTTATAATTTATTCTTGGATGGTGTGGAAGAGGATAAGAAAGAAAACCCGCTCATAAGGAATCTTTGTAAACCCCATTTTATCCCCCCTTGTTTATCTTCTTGGAATGCAATATTTAAAAAAATAATTTGGAAATTAGTTTGGACAACTCCTGATAGATGTTGTATTATATTCCTGATGAGCTAAATTCATTCTATGCTTAGTTTGAGGTCAGTAACGCAGATCCAATCAGGAAGATTCCAGAAATCCAAAACAGAAACCCACTGTTCATATCCAGAGCGAATTTGTGTAAGTTTATAAAAAGACCAATCCACGCAAGGCTCCTGGCCCTGATGCCATCCCTGGCCGCGTTCTGAAGGCATGCGCAGACCAGCTGGCAGATGTCTTCTCGGACATATTCAATCTCTCCCTAGCTCAGTCTATAGTTCCTTCCTGCTTTAAGAAAACCACCATTGTCCCTTTTCCTAAAAAATCCTGAGTCAGCTGCCTGAAGTGCTTCGAACGGTTGGTCAATGCATAAATCACCTCCTCACTGCCTGACACCCTAGACCCACTGCAATTTGCATATTGCCAGAACAGGTCTACAGAACATGCTATTGCCACTGCCCTCCATACTGCCCTCTCACACCTGGATAAAATGAACATATGTGAGAATGCTGTTTGTTGATTACAGCTCAGCCATAGTGCCTTCAAAACTTGTCATCAAGCTCCAGGACCTGGGACTGAACACCTCCCTCTGTAATTGGATCCTGGACTTCTTGACGGAACGTCCACAGATGGTGAGGGTGGGCACCAACATATCCTCTACCCTGACTCTAAACACTGGAGCCCCCCAAGGCTGTGTGCTTAGCCCTGTCCTCTACTCCTTATTTACTCATGATTGTGTCGCTAGGCATAACTCAAACTCCATCATTAAGTTTGCGGACACTACAACAGTCATCGGCCTGATCACAGATAGTGAAGAGACTGAATACAGGGAGGAGGTTGAAACCCTGGCAGCATGGTGCCAGGAGAACAATGTCTCTCTGAAAATCATTAAGACTAAGGAAATGATTGTGGACTATAGGAAACACAGGGGAGGAAATCACACACCTACAGTATCTGTATCAATGAGACTGCAGTGAAGAAGGTCAGCAGTTTTACGTTCCTGGGAGTTAACAGCTCAGAAGACTTAACCTGGACCCACCACACCAACACTGTGGTCAAAACAGCACGGCAGCGCCTATTATTTCTCCATAGGCTAAAGACGTTTGGCATGCAGTCACATATCCAGGCCAACTTCTATAGGTGCACTATTGAGAGCATCCTGTCTGGTTGCATCACTGCCTGGTATGGGAGCTGCTCCACCCGGGATCGCAAAAAACTGCAGAGGGTGGTGAAGTCAGCGCAGCTCATTACTGGCTGTGAGCTACCAAACATCCAGGATATCTACTCAGTTAGATGTCTTATGAAGGCCAGGTCCATTCACCTGGGAGGACCCTAGTCATCCTAATCACAAACTGTTTTCTCTCCTACCGTCTGGTAAATGGTAACGAAGCATTCGGTCAAAGTCCAACAGATTACAGAACAGCCTCTACCTCCAGTCAATAAGACTGCTAAAAAGCCAACCTGCAGCTCGTTTAGCAAATCACCCGTAATGGCTACAAGGACATACAGTTTTTATTGTATTCAGCATACTGCACTACTTAATTATAATAATAATAATTGCTTACACTTATATAGCAATTTTCTGGACACTCCACTCAAAGCACTTTACAGGTAATGGGGACTCCCCTCCACCACCACCAATGTGCAGCATCTACCTGGATGATGCGACAGCAGCCATAGTGCGCTAGAACGACCCACCACACATCAGTTATCAGTGGGGAGGAGAGCAGCGTAATGAAGCCAATTCATAGATGGGGATTATTAGGAGGCCATGATTGGGAAGGGCCAATGGGAATTTTGGCCAGGATGCCGGGGTTACACCCCTACTCTTTTCAAGAAATGCCCTGGGATTTTTAATGACCACAGAGAGTCAGGACCTCGGTTTTATGTCTCATCCGAAGGATGGCACCTTTTTACAGTATAGTGTCCCCATCACTATACTGGAGCATTAGGACCCACATGGACTGCAGGGTGAGCACCCCCTGCTGGCTCCACTAACACCTCTTCCAGCAGCAACCTTAGTTTTTTCCGGGAAGTCTTCCGTCCAGGTACTGACCAGGCTCACAGCTGCTTAGCTTACTTGGACATAGTATATTGCATACACCATGGACACATAGCAGTTCTATTCATAATTAGTTTTATTCCATTTCTATTACATTATTATCTATTATCATGTGATCTTATTTTCGTAACCTTAATTTTTGTTAATTTTGTGATGCTTGTGATTTTTGTGAGCTTGCAGAAAAGACATTTCATTGCCAGCAACTACTGCTGCATGCTGTATTGTTGTGCATTTGATAAATAAACTTTGATTTGATCTGATTTTGTTTATTACAAATAAGGTTAAAGAGATGGTTAAAGATAATTGTTCATAAGTTTTATCCAGTTAAAACAGCACTTTCTAAATTTAAGCATGAACAGGAAGATTTGTGTCTTTTTTGTGTGGAGTTTTTTCACGTTTTTGTCTTCTTTTTACCATTAGCAGCTTAAATTCATAAAGGATGAGCTCAGAATCCTCAATCTTCATGGCAGCATATGCTTCACAAACATCTACAGTACGTAATGGTGCATAGTGAAAAAGTAACTATAAAAGAACAAAGCAATAGAAATGTTACAACACAAATAGGCTATAAGCTCTGGTTTCTAATGATGAAAATAACTTTCTTTCTTGGGCTAAATATTTATATGTGCAGTGTGCCTACTAAACATAAAAAATGCATCTGGCATTCTGATTCACAGCTTATAAATGTAATGTATGTTTTGACAACAAAGCAATCAGGTTTGATTTTCTACTAGAGAAAAACCCCTTTTTATTTATGCAGATCCCACTTTTGTTCATTTTTGTTCACCATTTCCATTTCCATTTCAGAGAACATAATGGAAATTATTTGTATTTTGTAGATAAAATTGTTAAAATACTAAGATGTTCTCTAAGGGTATTTTGTCACAGAAAATAAGATTTTCAATGGTGAATTGCTTATTTCTTTTGGCATGGTAAATGAAAATGGTAAATGAAAATGGTAAATGAAAATGGTATAGTTTCTAAGCAATTCCATTTCCCCCTTTTCCTTAACCAATGGAGTACTTACAGTAAACATGTCCCGTGTAACGGGAGCCAGTTCTGACTCCCATGTAATGTGTTTGGAAAAATCTGAAAAAAAGTGTCAAACACAGCTAGAGGGTGCTCCTCCTCTGTCATGTCCCTAGTTTCTTGTGCTTTACTTGTCCTTCCGGTGTGTCTCTGCCTGGGGCTATATATATCCGGGTCACGCTTTCGCTTCGCTCAGCATTTAGGTTCGGATGTCCTGAACCAAGCACCAGGTCGCCCCAAGTCTGTGGCCTGAGGGCATTGGTTTCTATACTGCATTTCCTGAACAGCTGAGCCCGGACTAAACCCCATCCCGCTGCTACATATTGGGTCTTTTTCCATACAAACAAAGACACAGGAACGGGGATGAGGAATCAGGAACACGGAAGTAAAATCATAATGGAGCCGGGTGCTCCGAGCCCCAGACCCAGATGGTCAAGACGCTGGGGAATAAGACCTGCCCTCGGGCGATCCGCAAGCCCGGGGGATAGGCAAGCCTTGTGGCGTCCATCTTCCAATACCGAGCCCTGAAGCCCAGAGATGCCAAACTTAAGTAGTAAGGAGGAAAATAGGAAACAGGTGCACGTAATGATGAAACTAAAATACAAAATGGTCAGAGCACCCTCTTGAGGAGGGATGACGACTGTGACATCCTGACTTTGTTACATGTACAAAACATACTTTAATATACTGTATTTGACTTCTTCAGAGCTCCCTGTTGCTCTATCATCTGAGATTGTATATGCACACTATCATTTGAAAAAAATTAAGAAATTAAATATGATTATGATACAGGCAATAATGTTGTTATCACACTGTAATGCCTAAAGAAAAGTTGTCAGAAATCTGTGCCTTGACTCCTGCACCTTGTACCCTTGCCCTTTAATTCCTACAGACTTGGAACATCTATACATAACAGTGGATAGACATGTCTGTATATTTCAAACCAGGTTGCAAACTATTGTACACAAGGTT